CAATTCTCACAACGAATCCAGGTTCTTCAGGAGGTAATAACGATTTTCTGTTCCTTCCATAATCCTCTGTTGGTGTTTTTTTTCCTCTGTCTTGATCTTGATCTCTTTGTGTTTTCTTGCTATATATAGTCATCCTCCTCCGAAGCCCGAGGCAAAATCCAGAGATGGGTCTTCGGCCATTGAAGAAGTCGTCACTGCTCCTGAAAACTTTAGTGCGGAAGCTTCCATGGAAGAAGAAGAAGCTGCTTCCATTGAACCATCTAATGGCAACTTTGAAACGGAGCCCATAGGAGACAGAGATTCGTCCGAGGTTGTTGCTATGGACCTGCAGAAGATGTGTAATGTCAAGAGCAGTAAAAACGACGCTCCAGATTGGGAAAGTTTGATCTCAGGTTCAACCGATCTGTTGATATTCAGTTCTCCTAATGATTCGGAAGCCTTTCGAGATTTGATGCAACCCCATGCAAATAATTTCACCAGTGATGATCCAAGCAATGGAGAAGACAATGAATCCACCGAGGTTAACTCAAGAAACTATATATAACTTTCTGTCCATTCTCTATGAACACAAATGCTAGTTATTTCCTGGTTCTTGATCGATCAATATCTCTGAAATGATCCATTTTTAGGCTGTTTCTAACTTTCACCGTGGTCTGAGAAGGCGATGCCTGGACTTTGTCTCGCCTTCTGAACCATCTTCCCGATGCATATTACCTAGTATCGGTCTGCACCTAAACGCCATTGCCATGTCCTCAAAGGACAGTAAAGCCAGTCTCTTAAACGAGTACTCATTTCCCGGAAAGATACACGTTAGTTTGCCGGGCGCTAACGCACATTCCAAAGAAAACGTGCGAGAAACCCGTGAAGAGGATGCGAGTCAAGAAGTAGAAGATGTTTCCAAGGCATCAGTCGGTGAAGAGTTAAACCCGAGTAGCCCTAAGAAGAAGAGGCAGGTTCTTTTGGCCGAAAAAATCCGTTATACATAAACCGATATTTGTATAAATATTTGTATGCTTAATAATGTGCAGGCGCAAGTTTGATCAAGGCGGAGAGGGGGAATCCTGTAAGAGATGCAACTGCAAGAAATCCAAGTGTTTGAAGCTGTAAGCTTTTATGATCGCCATTGACGTATTCTCATGATTTAGAATTCTCTTCTGATGCTTCTTCTTCTTCTTCTGCAGTTACTGTGAATGCTTTGCTGCTGGTGTATATTGCATTGAGCCGTGTTCATGTGTCGATTGCTTCAACAAACCTATCCATGAAGACACCGTCCTTGCAACCCGTAAACAGATTGAATCCCGAAACCCGCTCGCCTTTGCTCCTAAAGTTATTCGAAGCTCGGACCCGATATCAGAAGCCGGGGTAAGAGTTTCTTCTCTTGATGATTTCTCTCCGTCTTGCTCATTTCTCGGTAGAAAAAAGCTAACATCTTGTTGATAATACAGGACGATGCAAGCAAAACTCCGGCTTCTGCACGTCATAAACGAGGTTGCAACTGCAAGAAATCAAACTGTCTGAAGAAATACTGCGAATGTTTTCAGGTTTTTTCTTCTCGGTATATACTCTATTTGCTTCTGCTTTGTTATCTACCCTTGTCTGATTCAGAACCACTCGGTCTCCTGATATTTTAAAAGGGTGGAGTCGGGTGTTCGGTGAACTGTAGATGCGAAGGATGCAAGAACGCGTTCGGGCGTAAAGACGGTTAGAATTCTCTGATCAAATCTTTGTCTATTTTCTCCCTTGGCTTTGGTCTGATCTTGTGTAGTTACAACTTTCAGGGTCTTCCGGCATTGGCAGCGAAGGCGAGCAAGAAGAGGAGAACGAAACATCTGAGAAAAACGGAACTGCTAAAGCACAACAGAACCCCGAGATCTTCAATGAAGAAGAGCAGAACCAGAGTTCTGGTCTCCCTTCAACACCATTGCCACTGTACAGGTAGAATCTGAACCTGAAAGCTGGTAGCTTTGATTCTGAAATGACTGTAAACACTAAACAAGACAGAACCTCGAGTTGATGATGTTCTTGCTGTTTTTTTTGCAGACAACCTTTGGTTCAACTGCCCTTCCCATCTAAGAACCAGACAGTTTCCCAGTCTCTTCTTGGAGCTGGATCTTCCTCCGCGAGGCAGTTCAGCAGCTTCGAGACGATTTCAGAGGACGGAACAGAAGACGATATGCCCGAGATTCTTGTCCGATCCCCCATTCCCACCGTCAAAGCCGTCTCTCCCAACAGCAAGAGAGTCTCTCCTCCGAATCTAGACTCCTCGGGATCGATCCTTGGAAGGAGAAACGGTGGTCGGAAGCTGATTCTGCAGTCTATTCCTTCGTTTCCTTCTCTCACTCCCCATCAATGAACAAGGATCAGCTGAGATTAAGCTCTGAAAATTCTTTGAATCTTTTGCAAGCTGAGAGGTATATTGCCAACTTCTAGTTGGTTTCATGTAATAAAACGCAAGACCCATCGTCTCTTGTAATATATACTACACTTCCTTAGTGATTCTTGCAGCATCATTTGTCAAAAAGTTTCCATCTTTCTGGTGTTTACGTTGGCTTACAGAGAGCAATTTTCAAGAACATGTTCTCTGAATGATAAAGAAATAACAGAAACTACAGAGAGAACTTGCCCTAACAGTTTAACATAAAACTCTGTCTAGAGTCAGGTCCATGGAGATATTATGAAAAAAGGACAGTAAATTAGATGCTTGTTATGTTATTCACCACCCCCTACTCTTCATTAGCTGGAGATCTCATGCAGCCACAGAATCGATTCTTCTTCTTCTTCCTCGCTGTCCTTTTCCCGCCCTTGTGGATTATGTCTCTCAACAGAATCACTGTCCGATTCTCCGAGAATTTCTTCCTTAATCTGCTCTTGGCTCCATCTTCAAGCTTAAGAACCGTCCTCTCTATGTTCTGCATCTCGGTCTGCAACTGCTCGATCTTCTCAGACCCGTTTTTCGATTTCTCCATTACCACCTTTCTGTATATATCTCTGGCATCTCCAGTTTCTTGGATCTCCTTTGACAGTATCTCGGTCGTGTTCACCAGCTGCAAGATCGTTTCTTCCATCTCTCTCAACCTTCTCCTCGTTTTTTCGTGGTCTGGGTTACCAAATCTACCTTGTTTCTCGTTCATCTCCAGCTTGTTTTTCAGATCTCGAATGCTTACCCGAAGGCTCGTCAGTCTCCGTGAATCAGACAGAAGTCTCTCCTGAATCTTTGCAGTGTCTTCGATGCTTCTAGATAACTCGAGCTTGTCAATGACTCCGACCACTTTCTCCGACTGTAATTCCGCCGATGGATTCCTACTCCTGCGATGGATACGAGAATTTACGGGTTTTTTCGAGTTATTACGGTTGATCAGAGACTTTATGCTGGCATCTAGTTCAGTAGATTCTTCCCACAACTCGAGCATTTGATCATTGGAACCGCAACTAGTTCCCCGACTTCTGTCTGCAACTTGATCAAGAGGAATATCTTTCACCAATAACCCGCCTTTCACCTCGGACATTCTCGCTCTTGATCTTCGCGGTCTGATTTCACCAGAGACCTTTTCGTCGAGATATCTGTCTTCTTCCACCTTCCTCCGGTCTCTGCTTCTATTCGAGTAACTTCTCCTTCTCTGCTTAACAAGTCTATCCCTTTCATTCACAACTACCTGCTCAATGGTTTTGATTCTCGTTTTCATTTCCCGCAGAAGCACAATCTTGTCTCCTGGTGTTCCACCACTTTGCCCTTCGGATTCTCGGGAGACTGTAGCTTCCGAGTGCTCCTCCTGTCGGGAAAAACCACGGGTTTAGATCAAGAAGCACAGAAAATGCAAGCTTGGACAATCACAGTGGACAAAATTCAAGTTTCAGCCCATGTAACAGAGATAGCTGGAACAAGAACAGTTAACAGATTTGAAGAACAGGAACCAAGAAGATGACAGACATTATGTAAGAGAAGTTTACCTCTCTGCTTCGATCAACTGTTGCTGGAAGTTTCGTCAAAGATAGGGCACTTTCCTCGAGAGATTTTATATCTTCGGCCAGTGATGCTACAACAGGATCATAAGCAGATAACTGAGCCTTCAGTTCACCGATTTCTTACATATAATATGAAAATAAAAAGAAAAGGGAAGAAGAAAAGGAAAAAAAAAATCAATGTGGCCGTTCCTTTATTGAAAGCAATGAATCGGTAATTTTATTGTAATTCATAAATTTTTAAAAATGAGAGAAAATATATTAATTATTTTTGTGATTCACAAAATATGATTGTTTTGTGATTATAATCTACCTCAGATTCCAAGTTTTCATTCAAAGTGTTAAGCTTTACGATCTCTTCTTCCTGCCTCCCCTTGAGGTCCAGAAGTTCAGAAATCCGTCTCTCTAAGTTTGCCCTCATTCCCTTCGATTCTTCACATTCCTTCTTCAGCTCTTCAACTGCCTCACACAATTCCACATTTGCATTGTGTGTAGCCTTGAGCATCTGTTCTGCCTCGAGAAGCTCTACAGCCTTTTGTCTAAAGATTTCATCTTTATCTGAAATTTGATTCTCTAAGAGGTCGTTCAGCTCGTTTGCCTCTTCGAATCCTTCCTGTAACTTCTCCAGTTTCTTGCTAAGCTCATGCCCTTCTGCTTCTTTTTCTCTCAACTTCTCCTCCATTGTTTCGAGCTTTTGTTTAAGATTGGAGTTAATTTCCACCAAAGTATCCATCTTTTCGGTAAAATCTTTGACTTGTTTAGCTCTTTCATCCCCGACGGAGTGGTAAACCACTGACATGTTACTTAAAGCAACAGCTTCCTGAAGAATTGCATCATTTTCTTCCTGTAGTGTACACATTTCGCACTTAAGTTCCGAAAACTTCTGCAGCAAAGTTTCGATTTTGACGAGTGCATTGGAATACTCTTGTTGCAAAAACTTGTATGCCTTGTTCAAGTTCTCGCCCTTTACACGCTCGGTTTGCAATTTGACCCTTAGCTCTTGCTCCCGGTGCTCTCTCTTGATCAATTCCGATTTCAACTGCTGGTTCATTTCCAGTAGCTCTTGTTTGTCCTTCTTCAGCAGTTCATGTTGCTCTATTATCATCTCTAAATCCTTCTCAAGGATGTTCTTCTTAGATTCCATTTCCAACCCATCTGACTGGAACTGTCCAAGTAGAGATAATAGCACTGAGTTCTGAACTACAAGTCTCTGCATCTCATCTTCGGTACTGGAACGCGACCGATTTAGGGAATCTATCTCACCCATTATACGTGAAACAGGAACCCATTCTTTCGCGATCTTGCAGTCTGCAAGCTTATAATCTGATTCGAGCTGAAGGGCCTTCATCACTTGATAGATGGCACCCCTCAAGTTGTCAATCTCATCCAACAAGAACTCTGCTTCCATCTGCTGCTCAAGATTCTCGCTTTCCAGCTCGGAGATAAGTTTTTCGGAGAATTTTGATGCCTCGACATGCTTCTGGAACTCAATCAGGAGAGAAAAGTTTTTCTGTTCCAAGTCTTCTATAAACTTCTGCAAGATGAAGATCTCGACTTGAGCGTTTACAGCTCTGTCAAGCTCTTCCTCAAACTCTTTCTTCCTGGATCGGCACTCTTCTCGAAGAAAGCTCACATTTTTCTGAAGATCGGCCAATCTGGTCTCAGTTGAACGTTCATAAATAGCCCGTTCTTGCTTCTCAGTAGCTAATGAAACCTGTAATTCTTCCACCTGAAAATTCATGAACTGTTTCTCCCGCTGCAGATCAGTATATTTCCCCTCCAATTCCGAAAATTTCTTCTCCAAGACTCCTAGCCTCTCCTCAACCCGATTCATCTGAGAGCCAAGAGATTCTCTTTCCTTTAATAGTTCAGCCTTTTCATTTTTTAACAACTCGAAGAATTGTTCGAAACATTTTGACCTCTCCCTCAGACCTTCAAGCTCGATGTTTGCACCAGAAAGAGAATTCTCCAACGAGGTGTTCTTTTCCAAAAGCTTTTGCATATTTTCTGTCATGAGTTGTAACTGAGATAGCAGATTAGCTCTCTCAGCAACAAGCACGGATTTCTCTCCCCGTAAAGATTGGCATAGTTCTTGCAGATCATTTGCTTTCTCCCTAGAGCCTTCCAGTTTGGTGTTTGATTGCAAAAGCGATTTCTCCAGAAAAACATTCTCCCGTAAAATGACGTCCATTTCACGCAACTTCTCAGTCAGAGCTTCCTTCTCACCTTTCTGGTTATCGCACAATTCAATCAGCCTCGAGTTTTCGTCTTGTAGTTTCTTCAGAGAGGAAGAAAGACATTCAGGATCCAAACCCGCAAGCCTGATTTGCTCCATTAACATATGGTATCTTCTGTTCAAGCTGTCAATTTCATCCTTCAGACGGTAGATCTCTTCTTGAAGGGAATTGCTCTGGTTCATTTGTCTTGCAACTTCTTCCTCGAGCTTCTCTTTCATCTCCTTCAAACTAGAAATCTCATATTGCTGAATCTGAAGGGAGATGGTGGAAGAGTTATTCAACTCACTTAAGTTCCGGTTTTCTTCTTTAACCGAGCTGATGCCATTTTCCAACTCATGATTATGCATCTCCAGATCCTTCAACATTTGAACCCGACTTTGAAGTTCCAAGGTGAGAGCTTTCTGTTCCTCTTGAGACTGAGAATGCAAACCCTTCAAGCTTCTAAGATTGACTTCAAGTTCTGAAAACCGAGAGAATTCTTCTTGGAGTAAAGCCTGAAGCTTTTCAAGATCATTTTGCTTCTCTGAAAGTTCTTGGTCCTTGGCTGCTATCTTTTGCATTAGATTGTCTGCTTCGGCCTTCAGAGTTTGATTCGAGCTCTCCAGAAGAGCACACTGGTCCTCCACAGTCTTTAATTTTGCAGCCCCAGCCAGAACTTCACTGCTCAATCTTTGGGCATTGACTTGAGAATGAGAAAGTTCATTCTCTAGCTTTGAAATGGTCTCCAAGCACTGCTGGTACTGAAGATTCAGATCTTCCTTCTCTTCATTTAACTTCACAAGTTCTTGTTTCAATGCGTTAATTTCATCCTCTGCTCTTTCAGATTGATTTTTAAACATCCGGGTATTCTCCTCAACATCTCTGATTCTATTCTCCAAAGCAGATATCATCTCCAAGCATTGCTTGTATTGGGCTAACCCAGCTTCTTTCTCAGCATGCAATCTAGAAAGCTCTTGCTTGAGACTATGAGCTTCTGTTTCTGCTTTAGATGATCGATCACTGAGGCCCTTTGCATTTTCTTGTGCTTGTGAAATCGAAGCCTCCAGCTCTGCTATTCTCTCCACCGACTGATTATACTGAAGAAGTCCATCATCCCTCTCGGCTTCTAGTTTTGCAAGGGCTTCCTTCAGTATCTTAAACTCAATCTCAGCTGTGGAAGCACGATCATCAAACCCTTTCACATCGTTTTGAGCATTGTCAAGGTCTTTCTCCAGTCTGGATAGTTTGTTCAGGCTGAGCTGATACTGGAGACTCAAAGCCTCCTTCTCAGCCCGAAGTTCCATTAAAGTTCTCTTCAAGGCTTCAACTTCTGTATCTGCTTTATTAGCATCTGGATTCCTGAATAGCTCCTTCACTTGTCTTAAGCCCTTGTTACTTGCACTACCATCATTTTGCATGTCTTCAGAGTCATAAAATGGCTGAATTCGCAGTGGCATTTTCTCAGGGGTACGAGGCTCAGAAGAAAACGATGTGGAATCATCACTCATGTCGAAAGGCAACTGGTTTGGGAATGCTTCTGCCATGGTTTTATGAGCATGGCGAAGCTCCACTGTCGCATGGTCATACCTCTCAGCTAATGCACGATAAGCTCTGTAAAACTGTTCCACCAGTTTCATGAGCTCTGGACGTTTCTTGTAGTACATTTCTGCTCTCCTCGCAAAAGAATCCGCATCTTCTTCAATGAGTTTGATCATCGACTTGACTTTCGTATCCATATCTGTTCAAGGAATAAATTTCTAAGTTCTAACCCGGTAAATAAACATCCAAGAAACAAGAGAAAAAACCACTGACATTTATCAAATAAGAGTGCTTTAATACATGAAACAAGATCATCTCAGAATTCAGAACCTAGAAGATTATGCATGAAACTTATGTTCATTACTTCAGACCAACCCACAGGAAAACTTAGTCATTCAAGCTACATATACACATTCAGTTTCTCATTAGCATCTTTTCTTGATGTTTAGTTTCTATAAGTACTGAAAGCGAGAGAGACCTGCAAGATTCTCCTGAAGCCATTTTGAGTTCTTTGGGATGTGACTATCCCACCACCAAGAGTACAAGCGTCTGGACTCTGAATGCAACACAGTGGCCATGACGCCGGCTGCAAGAATCAGAAATATCGGTTTGGACTTCACCCAATGGTGGTCCCTTTCGCTCCACTGGGAAAGGGCGAGGTAATGGTTCCAGGCCAGAGTCAACGAGCTCGATATTTCCCCCCTCGCCCGCAGCTAATATCCTACAAACAGAGAGTTCCTTGATCTCCCTGCCACGGGACTTTCACCTGTGAAATCGAAACAATGTATAACCATATAAGTAGAAATAAAAAAAAAAAATTTGAACATGGCAATGAGACTTAGATCATGTTTTTCTCTTGGTTTCAAAGATACATCATCCGGGTAAAGCCGTTCAAAGTTGGCCAAAGGGAACAAACCTCTACTCGCTTTGTGGGTTTGTATCAAAGGCTGATTCTCCTATGAATGATAAAAGACAAGTTCTTCCTCAACCCTGTACACAAAACGAAAAGCTTTGTTCAGAGAGACAAAAAGACAGAGAAACGAATACTAGCGATTCACTGCTGAATCTTCCATTTCGTTTACAGGGAAAATCGAGTCTTTAACACTTGGATTCACCACCAGACTATATATTTTCTTCAGCGTAAAGGCAACGGAATTTTGTGTGTGATATTAACAAGAACAAAGACCTCACCTACACACAATGAAAACTGGGATCTACCTATCACTCAACCCAAGTTCATTGGTGGAAATAGAAACATTATACCATAATTCAAGGAGAATTAGGGGGGGAACAGCAGAAAAGTGGCGTACACCAAGAAGAAACAAAGAAATCAGGTTATCATAAGGTTACTATGAGCAAAGTATAAAATGTTGATCCGAAGAAAGAGGTGGTAAATCATAGTAACGGGAAGTGGGCACGAACCAAAATAGTAAAAGGGTCATTTATTTTTCGGATCAAAGCGACTAAAACTCGGAGTGTCGGCGAAAATTGCAAACTTGACCTAATTGAGAGGACGAGCACAGAAATGGCAAATGCAGATTCTTCAACCACCGAGCATTTCGGATCGCAGCAACAAAGAGTGGACACATCAATAGAAACAGCAAAAAAAAAAAAAGGTAAACTTCCTTGAGCTAAGGGACAGAACACCATTCAGCAAATGTAGATCAAAATAGACAAGCAATTGAGAGAAAAACGTTTCCTTTCCTCCACTTTTCGAGATCAAATTACCAGAAGGATGTAACGGGTATCGAGAGAAACTATAAAAGACGGTATTTTTACTCAAGTAATTGAACCAGAGTTCATAAAAAACGAGATGGGGGTATGAACATAGGCAGAAAGGATGCGCCTTTCATCGTCAAAATGCGTAAAACGAAATGGGTGCTCATATGAGAACAATGGAGGGAAAAAGATCGATTTTTTTCCGACAAAATCAAAATGGGTTTGACAGAAACATCAAGAAAAACTCTTTCTCGTGAAGAAATTTTCGCACAATAGATCGAAGTCCCATACCAAACAAGCCAAAGTTCTTGACCAACAGACGCTGTTCACACCAAACCCCAGCTTCAATGTACTGCAGATTAGCCCATTCTCTCTCTCTACTTCACTTTTCAACTACTCTCTCTCTCTCTCTCTCTCTCTCTCCATTATATATGCTTAGATTGGGATTTCTGTGAGAGACAAAAGAAGGATAAGAATGATGGGACGCACACTGTAATTTCTTACATTTATTTTCTTGCCTCTGTTTTTGTTTTTCTCTTCCTAATTTAGTGTACAATCTTTTGGAATATGTAGATACTGTGTTGACCAAAAACTGATGTTATAGTGTGTGTGAGTTATTATAGTGCGTGTGTGTTTTAGAATTGTAACGAATTTGATGTAATCTACGCAATTAATGGAAAATGATACGGTCGTTATGACTAATAACCTAGTAAATCCCGTATGTCCTTTATATATATATATATGTGTGTGTGTGTGTGTATTTGTTTTTTATTCTTTTTAAATTCGAGATCGGGGGTTGTGTCGAATAAATTTTCAGAAATCTCACGGATTAACAAAGAAAACATTACAAATTATTCTTATAAGAACTGTTTGGATGAATAAATAGTACCAATAGAAAATGATTGCCCTTTAAATTTTTTTGTTATATTTTCTTCTAGTTTGGATGAATTAAATAGTACTAATAGATTTTTTAAAACTACATTTTTTTTTTTGAAAAAGCTAGATTTATGTAATTTATTTATTGAACCATTAAGTATTTGTCTGAATGAAAATGGGATTAATAAGATCATTTACGAAAATGACAAATCTGCCCTTTGCTTGAGATCTAAAAAATGTTCTTTCTTGGGTTCTACAAAAGTTGGTTCCTTTAAACAGTCTACTTCTGCTGATTTTGACTGCAAGGCTGAAAAATAATTTTGTCAAAATTAAAAACAAACAGATATTTATTATTTTCTATAATTGATGTATTTAAAAGAAAATCATTGATGTGTTTAATATACCTGATTTTTGGGTTGAATATCTTGTACTAGATAGATCTTCTTCCTCAACAGGCAACTAAATCTGATTCTTTCATTAATTAATTGTTACTATTTGAAAATTGTATTTATAATTTTTTTTACAAATAACTATTTTTACAAATAACTTTGACATTATATGTTAGACACATTTTGGCATGTGTTATATAAATTAGAATTTCTATATATAATCATTTTAATATATATATATATATATACACACTAAAATCTTAATTTATCACCCCTCTCTAATCAATTTTGCCATATTTTGATCTATCCGTTACTTTTATGTTTTTTTTTTGGGCGTATTTCACAACCAAATGAATTCTTAATTATTTCTATTAAAAATGGATCATTTTTATAAATATAAATACATATAATTCAACACATTAAAACTATATATTTCTATCTTATGTTTACGTGTAATTTTCATTTTGGTTTCCAGTTTTTTTAGGTTTTTAGTTGTCTGCAAATGAGCACAATCATTACATACATTGTGGCAGATGTCCCAATGGACCATAATATTAAAACATTATAAAAAAAATATATAGAACGTTGAGAAAAAAAAAAGCTCATCAGCAGGGTAAAGCCGTTCAAAGTTGGCCAAAGGGAACAAACCTCTACTCGCTTTGTGGGTTTGTATCAAAGGCTGTATACCTAATAACAGAAAAATGAATTTTTGTCTCATAAAAAAAACGTCAATAATCAGCTCGAGATATATAAAGGTTATATCATTTTAAATGTTATCAAATTGATTAAAAAAAATACTGTGTCTCGCATATAATTTGATCATCATTTGTAATATATATGATAAATGTTTTTTTTTAACAATATGATAAATTTTGTTACATAAAAGTAAGATTGGGGAGGTGTGATTTTTATAAAGGTAGCAAAAAGAGTATAGTCACGAAGAAGAAATCCATAGGTCGTGTTGTTCACGTGGATTAGCTTTTAATCTTTCTTTTAATTATGAGTATTAAATTGGCTAAGTAAGAAACTAAACAAAGGCTTTCCCATTAGGTAAGGGTTACATTACATAAAATTTAATGTCCTTTTTTAATTTGTATTTGTTATAATTCGAATTGGGATATTCTGATTATATTAAATAGAAAAAATATCGTGTTCTAACAACCAAATCAGTACTATATTTTTTATGAACATATGTCAATATTTTATATAGTCTCCAATTATAGATGTCTCCTAGACAAGAATATTACTTTTTATTATTTAGATATCTAACAGTTGAAAGATGGAATGATAATTTTTTGGAAAAATCACATATTAATAAAACGAATTTGTAAAAAAAATCTAAACAAATATATGAATTTTAAAAAAAAAAACTTGCTTATAATCTACCTCTTTTTTTTCCATATTTATAAAAAAAATTCTAAAACGTGCGCCATTCTTCTATTGAAAATAATAATATAGAGTAGCATATAAGATTACAATGATTCTTATGAACAATAAAATAAAAATGTGATAAAAAAAAATATCATTTTATAACATCGGGGGCTCGTAGAGATGGAATACGATACTAAATACGAAATTTTATAAAGATGGATTTCATTTAATTTACATATTAATTTAGCGAACAAGTGACCCCATATCTTGGACCATATGAAATGATATAAATGCTATCTGAATCTGAAAGTCTTTTGCACGCAGATCTCATTCCCACCAACACGCATCAATGCCAGCATCTTCAAGACCTCTAAATGGGTCACCAAGATCTCCAAAAAAAAAAAAAATCAAAATATAAAAAGAAAAAGAAAAAGAAAAAAGGAAAAGAAAGACATGAAGAAAAAAAAGGATGGGGATGTCATATGTAAGAACAAGATTGTGTCTGTGTCTTTTGGGTGAGCACAAGAAGCCAACACTTGCAACTCAATCATTCTGTAAAGTCATTAGAAAGAGAAATTATGTGGTCTCTCTGTATATATATATGGTTTTTAACCATATCATCATATATATGTCACCTTTTTTGTTTCTTGTCACCATATATTAGCACCCATTTGAAGTGCAATGTATATATGAAATTTTTTTTTTTTGTATATTAGAAATATATAATATCTGTTATTTTATCGAAATATATTATAGATATATTTTCGTTTCTAGTTTATTAGTGTAATTTAAACTAAATAACGTGTGTGTATATATATATATATATATATATAAAGAGTTTACATTCCCCTAATAAACTACAAACGAAAATATATCTATAATATATTCCCATGAAATATCAGAGATCCGTATAGATCTCTAGTATATAGTAGAATTGGAACGTTATTTTAGGAAAAATACTTAATTAGTTAAGTATCCAACGGTAAAAAAATCAAGAATACGTATATGTATATGTGGATTTTGAATATTGGTGGTTTTGTGAAAGTTATGAATCTCACCCAACGTAACAATATTTCAAGAATCTTAATAAGAATATATGCGTAGAATATTGAAATTATGACTTCGTAATTAATTCTAAATATAGTTACAATTGATTCTAAAAAAGGTGGCAAAAAAATCATCTATCTTATTTTAGTGGTATATCAGTTATATGTTAGTCGTAATAAGGTCGCAAAAAATAAAACGAAAAGAGTATTTCGGACTTTTCCAATCGAAAAATGGGTTAAAATTGAAAATTTTTTTTTTTTTTCGGTGGTGTACATTGAAATTGCTGCGACCCAAGTAGATTATTTGAGTAATATTCGAAGAGCGCTCTGTCCCGTATACCGAGATCAGAGCCCAATAATGAACAGCTCAAGGCCCAGTAGTAATATCAGTAAAGATTAAAATCAATCTTTTCTATTAAGCCCAAGTGGTTTGAGGGTTCCAATATTCCCACGTTTTATCATTAATTTTTTTAGTTATTTTAAATTAAAGATTTTGAAAAGGACATTACTTAATTTTTTACAAGGGGAAACAACGTTTGGCTTACAACTCATTTGCAGGATGTTTCTAGGGGAAATTTGCACCAGTAATAAAAAAACGTCACGTCATTAGAAATTTATATTTTTTTTTCATTTTTTTACAAACTATACCTTTTTATAATTTTTTGACAAAAATACCCTTACTGTATTGTATAATTTCAATGTTACCATTAAACATTTCAAAAAAATTACAGCATAAAAAATATATTTTATTCAGAAACTGTGTTATCTCAGAAAACTATTTTTTCATCCGCAATAATTATTTTCCATCTATGAGAATCTATTTATATTTGGTTTAACTGTTTTTGTATCCGAAAAAAATAATTTTTTTTATCAAGAAGAACTATTTCTCGTCCGAAAAAATCATTTTTTCATTCGGAAAAGACTTTTTTTATCCGAAAGAAATGTTTTTTATCCGAAAAAATCTATTTTCGTTTTTGAGTCGAGATAGGTAGTCATAGTGTCTTGCTAGAGACCGCCTATGACTTGTATATCCGGAATAGAGATTTCGGGTTATACTGCTATATCGGATGAGTCTACAGGGTCACACACACAGGAAAGGAATAGAAACTCTTGCACTCACCGTAAGACCGTTGCATTGGTCGGTGAGGGATACAATTTTTCCGGTCATCAAAGTTCCGGAGGTTCAGACAAACCGGCGGTTCGCCGGAGAAAAGGTTATCCGAATACGTAAAGTTCTCGAGTTTCGGCAATGTACAAATGCTCTTCGGAATCTCGCCGGAGAATCTGTTGTGGGCAACGTTCAATTGCTCCAAGCTCTTCATTTCTCCCATCGTCTCCGGCAATGGACCAACCAAGTTGTTAAAGCTCACGTCGAAAACCGTTAACCGGTTAAGCGAACCGATCTCCCGGTTAAGACAACCGGTTAGTCGGTTGTTCGAGAGGATCACTTGGTGCAATGTATTCCCCATTTTGTAAAAGCTCGGAGGTATGCATCCATAGAGATCGTTGTTGGCCAAGACAAGAACTGAAACCGGAGAGTTAACGATGTTTTCCGGTAAACTAAACCGGAACTTGTTGTCGTTAATGAATAAAGCATCGAGCTTTAAGTCGAAAACTCCCTTAGGAACGTCTCCGTAAAACTCGTTGTACCTTATGTCGAGAAACTTCAAAGAGGGTAACGAGAAAACTATGTCCGGAAAGCCGCCGGAGAATTTATTGTTACTAACGTCGAGCTCGTTGAGAAACCGGAGATACTTTAGGGTTTTCGGTAATTCCCCAT